GGAGTTGTAAGCTGAAATAAACCCTTTGTTCCTCAAGTTGTGTTTGGTGGCTGGGGAAAATATACTATGCCAACATTAATCAAAAGAAAGCTAAATGGCTATCAGAAACGGTAGGTATCTTATTCCAGGGACAGAACAGAATTACCCGCACAATGTCAAAATAGAGGAAGCATCCAGAAGATGGAAGTCTTGGGGCTGGGGAGCTGGTTTCCTGGGTAATGTGCTTACTGGTACAAGTATGAAAACCTGGGTTCCATCCCCAGCACACTCACAAAAAGTAGCATGGGCCTGTAATCCCTGTGCTGGGAGAAAGGCACAGGGAAAGTCCCTGGGGTTCCCTGCTCATCAGCCTGACCCCATCAAGATGAGACCCCATCTCAGAAAAAAAATTCATGTACTTTTCCTTTTTGTAATGATCTTGCAGATTTTAGTGGGGAGATCACTGCTGCTGTGACAAATAGGCAAAGTGGCCTTTTCTTTGATTTCTTGGTGTCCTGCCTGTTTCTTCAGTTATCTGCAGGAAGTCAGCAGCCAGGCTGCCGGGCTCTGATTTGCCAGTTTTTTTCCCTGGATTGGTTTATTTGCCTGCTTTTGTCGTTTTTGTTTGTGACAAAGTCTCATGTACCCCTATGTAGTCAAGGATGACCCTGAACTCCTGATCCTTTTGCCTCTACCTCCTCCAGTGCTGGGATCACAGGTGTGGGCCACACCTAGCTTGAATTCTTCATTCCTGATCAGGTCTGCTTTTCTGAGCAGTATCACTAAATTCTGATATTAATCTCTTTATGCATTCAATACTGACTTTATTTCCATTTACCTTTATTTTGCTTATTTCTATTCCTATTTCCTCTATTTAAAAGTAGCTGCTTTCATTAAAATTGTGATACAAGCTTTTTGTGTGCAGGTGTGTACTGAGAGTTGAACCCCCTGGTCTTCTGCATGCTCAGCACACACTCTACCACTGTGCTACACCCACAGCCTTTCTTATTTCTTTACTTATTTTTGAGACTGGCTATTGCTATACTGCCTAGGACGATCTCCAGGAAACTCCTCCTGCCTCAACCAGCAGTAACCTCTTGATGCTACAGGGCAGCCCAGCACTGAGGTTTACTATCAGTAACAGTACACAACATTTCCTATTTTCTCTAATGTTTAGCACTTTTAAAATATTTTTTTAATTTTCAAACACATAGGAAGTTATTTCCTTACTGGCTTTCATTATGTTATTGTAAAAAGTAGACTTCACATCACTTTGATCTTTTAAAATTTGTTGAAGCTTTAATTAGAGCCTAGCAGGTGGTCCACATATTGTTTTGTGTGCCCTGCATTACTACTGGTCCTGTGTTCCACACAAGTGTTCACAACTGCCTGATTAACCCTTTAATCACTCAACTTAACCAAACTTTAGTCAGGCTTCTATCTGTGCCTGAGGCCCCTGAACTTTAGCTCATCCCTTCATTTGGGAAGGCACTGAGAGGTAGGCAGACTTCCTTTAAGCATTCACCTCAAGGATCTGGATACCAAAGGAATGAACACTCATGTAAAACCATCTTAGGAGCCAGCAAGATGGTTTAGCAGGTAAAGGTACTTGCTGCCAAGTCTGAGGACCTGAGTTCTGAGGACACAGGGTGAAAGGAGAGTCCTCTGACCTCCACAGACATGTGAACGCAGACACTAAATAAATATAAGAAACAAATTTTTTAAATCTTAGTCATTCTGTCTGCCCACTCTACCATTCACCTCCCTCTCCCAGAAAGTTCCTGTGAGCCCTCTTCCTCTTATTATGGGATGGTCTCAAGACAATGGGGTTCAAGAGCTCCCTGACCGCCAGTCTTCAACGTCTCTGGTCTTACCATTGAGAATACACAGCCAGTAGGTCAATCTGTTCACTTTCTTGATCAAGCTACCTCTTCCTGAGTCGTTTCATCTTCTTGTCCTTTTTCCTGAAGGAATATTTTACTTGTCGATGTTGTAAAAACAAACAAAAAAAATCTTTTAAGCTTCCAATTAAAAATTTAAAGTTCCTAAAAATGCCAATTTAATCAGATAGAAAATGACTTTAAAACATTTAAGTCATGAGAAAAACTAGGCTTAGTAAAAACATTTTCATTTCCAAAAAGATATATAGTCAGGTAAAAATAATAGAAAGCCTCATGCTCAGGTTAAATGCAGATAATTCTAGATGATTTGGTCAACAGAAAAAAGACAAGTCCTAGAGGCCTTCAGCTCCAGTCCTCTGTCCATGTCTCACTGCAGGGATTTCATGATCATTTCTTCTTGGTGGATAACTTGGTGGATCAAGCGAGACAATGGGAGAGAAGGTAAGCTGGTGTGCACTCGGCCCCACCTCATTCAGCACAGGTGTCGATCTGGGTGTCTAAGTTGGTAACTCCCCTCATTTTCCATGTCCTTTTCATTACCGTCCTCTCTAGGCTGTCTTTGGCAAGGAGAATCCTGGGAAGTCAGGGTCTCTAACTCAAGCATACTTTCTCTCTGGTCTACCTTGCTCTCCTGTACCATGTCAGCACCTTTTGTCACTTCTCCCTGCACAAGATGGTTGGAATACTGTGACTGGTGCCCTTAGGGTCTGTGCCATAGGTCTGGTGGTGTTGGGCCTGGCTTTTAAGCAACTGCTCTGGTAATTCTGCTAGTTACTGTGTGGATTCCTACAATGTCAATAGTGTCTATAATGGTAATATAGTCTGCTGCCTACTTACTGCCTTGAACCGAACCCCACCAGGGCCTGTAACGTCCATGGCCTCTACACTTTCTCCTCCAACATGGAACTCGTCTCTCCACCTCTGCACTGCTAAGGTGCTTCCTGGGATTATTCATTATGGCAACCTGGTGCAAATATATCCTCTTTGCTCTGATGATTAATCTATTCAATCTGAGATCTAGCACCACCTTGGAGATTAGTGCCTGGGCATGCCTGTTGGGAATTATCTTGCTGAGGTGGGGAGACCCACCCTAAAAGTGGATGACACCATTCCCTGAATGGCATAGAAAGTGGGCTGAGCATCAGTATTCATTGCTCTGCTTCTGACTGTGATGCAATGTGACGAGTTGCTGGAGCTCCCCTGCCATGACTTTCCTGATGCAAGGGGCCACACCCTCAAACTGTGAGCCGGAACATAACCTCTCCCTTACATCACTTTTGTCAAGGTATCCTATCCCAGAAACAAGAAAGCTAACTAATATACTTGGTGTCATTGCTTCTGATGGAACACCTTTTACCTTGAACTATCCTCAAGCATCCACTGCAAGAAACTTTCTGTCCCTGCTGATGGGATGGGCACTGTCCATGGAAGGCTGCCCGGGCTGCCACTCCCTCTGATGCCTTCATGAATGGGAAGGGGCTGCTGGGTCACAGCCTGGCTGCTCAGAGTTGTGTGACAGTGACCAAGGCCAGCTGCCTTGGCTGGAGCTCCTCCAATGCTGTGCTAGAAACTCAGCCAGTGCAGCACTGGAGCTGCTCAGGAGTGCTGGGGTTTTCTGCGCCACTTCCCCAAACATGCTCAGTCCTCCTTCCATGTTCTGAAGTAAGATCTCCCTAGGAGACCCAAGTGGCCTTGAACTCACTCTGTAGCCCAGTCAGGTCTTGAACTTGCCATCTTCCTCCTGTGCCCAAGTAGCTGGGATTACAGGTCTGTGCCGCTTTATCTATTTATCTATCTTCCTTCCATTCTCATTCATTCTCTTCTCTCTTCTCTTCTCTTCTCTCTCCCTCTCCCCTCCCCCCCCCTTTTAGTAGCCCTGGCTTGGGATGCACTATGTAGACCAGACTGGCCTTTAATTCATGGAGACCACCTACGTCTGTCTCTCAAATGATAGAATTAAAGTTGTGCTTCACCACATCTAGTCATACCAGGTCCAGCTTTAAATCAACTATCCTGGAAGTGGATCTGTATCTTAGTCCCCTTACTATGTATCTCAAAATCTGCAGTCAGATGTGGTGGCATCTGCCTATAAACCCAGCTCCACCAGAGGCTGAGAGGATCAGGAGTTCCAGAACAACTTGGACTGGACAATAAAACCTTATCTCAAAAAAAGGTCAGAGCCCATGAAGCCCTGGGTTCAGCCCTCAAGACTACATGATCTGGAGGTGGTGGCACACACCAGCAATCCCAACACATGGTGGCCACAGCAGGACTAGGAATTTAAGGTCATCTTCATAGTAAGTTTGTAGCTAGCCTTGGCCACAAGGCTCAGTGTCAAAAAAAGGACTCATTTTATCCCTACAAATATAGAAATTTTGCCAATGAACATTTAATCTTTAGAATTTAATGTTAATCCCTAGTAACTATCATTGCCTACTCTATTCTTGACATCAAACAACTGTATCACATTTTATTCTTATCCTTTTGCTTGTAAGTTGGTATTTGCATTTTTTTTACCACTCTTGAAAATAATACCAAGTAACCATCTCTGTCTTAGCTAGAACATTTACTGTTTACATTTAAATGACTATTTTTGGAATGTGATGGTACAAGATAATAATCCCAGCGTTTTGAGAGACGTAAGCAAGGTCATCTCAGACACAGTAAGTTCAAGCTGGGCCACATGAGACCTGTCTTAAAAACCAAGCAAAAGCAACTGTTTTTGTTTCAAACTACCTAACTGTGTGCTGTCTTGTTACATGCATTACATCTTCCTGTGATTCTCAATGCTGCCTTCTCTATTCTAGCTTATCACTCTAGAAAGTACTCAGCAGGGTAGTTGCACTGTGTGGTGAATCTACCATCTGCAAACCCATGGCTGGTTTTAAGTTTCTATTTGTGTTTCCTTGTGTGCCTGGTTATCTCTGTAGCGATAACTGAAGGCACCAGCTTATAACCACCAATGAGCTAGCTTTTCATCAGCCTGTACCTTAAACTGTTTCCAAACAGTCTGGGCACAAGCTGTCACCTGTGCAGACGTGAAAGCTACAAGAAACAGAGCTCGACTGAGCTTAGAATTTGCAAAGATGTGTCCAGAGAAAAAAATGGTCATATTATGGAGACATCCAGATTTATGAAAGCAACATCTGGGTCTTCCTTGTAAGCATTTGGACAAGTGCTTAGTCACCTCTGCATCCCCAGTGCTCACAAAACAACCAGTATGTGTCACACACACCTGCACACATACACACACACTCACAATTTTTTTTCTGAGACAGGATCTTACACTGTAGCAGACTAGCCTTGAACTCTAGGCAACCCTCATGGCTCAGCCTCCTGAGTGCTGGGACTTCAGGTGTGTACCACAACTCCTAGCCAAGTGTGTTATGTATGTGAAGATTCTAACATCCTAGCTAATCTGTCCCTGAAATACCCTATCCCAGTCATTCTGTAACCCTGTAAGTCTTCACATCTGCCAGGTAAGTCTTATCCTTTTGGTGCTTCCTCCTCTTGGTCCTTGGCATTTTATTATCTTTCAGATAATCTTACATTAACTGTGAAATAAGAAAGATAACCTGGCTGGGTGGCACTGGAATTTATTGAATAAATGAATAAACTGAATAATATGAATAAAATGAGTAAGTTGAGTAAATGAATCCCAGGAATGCCTATCTGCACAGCCAGCTGCCTGGGGCTCACCCTCATCCTGCAGTGGCTCTTTAACAGCCCACAGGTGGAAGGTGCTCTGCAGAAGCCAGCCCGCCCACCCCTGGGCCTCCTCTCTGGAATCCTCACCTCAAAGTGAGTACTAAGTCACATGACATACACAGGAAGCCTCCTGACAGAAGTGGCCCTGACTGAAGGAACCTTCTGGGTGTGCTATCCCTGTGATCCAGGGGCTGCTAGACAGGGCCACCCCATCGGTTTCTCTAATAGGAACAGATAAGGAACAAAGACAGGGAAAACCACCTGGAGCTCTTACATAAATCTCAAATCCTGACCCAGAGTGCTCTGAGAACCAAACCAAAGCAAGCGTGCCTTCCCAGCTGTTGAGTCCAGCATGAGGACAGCTTATTCTCCGCACCTCCCCTAGGCAGTGCTATTGACAGGAATGTCCTGATTCAGGAGACAGAGCCTGGATCTGTCTAAGGAAGGGGGCACCACTGCAAAGTGGTCCTGGGCAAGGATGCAGCTCACTGTTTCTGGTGGCTGAGTGAGCAGGCTGTAGGCCTCTTCTCTGCTGGGATGGACCTCATCACCACCTTGGGCTGGAGTGTGACCTCTGCCTCCTGGTGCCCAGTCCTCAGCAGGCTAAGGAGCAGGACAAGGTGTGGAGTGTGTGGCCTCGGAGAGGCCATGGATGCAGGTCAGGAAGAGAAAGAGGAATGGGTGTCCAGGTGCTCCTGGGGCAAGCAGACAGGACTAGGTCAGCATCTCACCCCTCTGGGACGAAGGGCCGAATCAGCTCTGGGTTCAAAAAATTCAGCAGCGACTCCTCAAGAGGCCGATCCACATGGAAGTCATGGACATGGGGAGGGCCAGGATGGGCCTTCACTGCAGGCCCCCCTGGGCGCTGAGGGATTGGCAACTCAGATGGGTGGGCAGGCAGGGGAGCCGTGAAGAAGTACTGATGCAGGAGGGCCTGAGGGAGGCAAACTGGTGCAAAAGTAAGTGTCCAGTCACCACCTGTCCCCAGCCTCACTCAGCTGACTCGGCAAACCTTGTGTCCTCTGGGCCAAGTCTAGAGCACTATTCCAGAGGCTGGGGACATGGCAGAGAACCAAAAAGTCAAGCTCTGTCTTGTCAACAGAGGTAGAGGTAGGGGAAATAAACCAGATAAAGAGGCAAAGGCAGGGAATGTCCCTAGTAACAGTGGGAGCTCGCTGTGTTATTTCCTCAGTTGAAACATTCTTTCTGGGAACAAGGATCCTTAAAGTCTCAGGAGGTACAGGAAACTTCCAAGGCTCAGGAAGTAAACTAAACTAACAAGTCTCAGGAGACTCCTGAAACTACAGTGAGACTCAGGGAGAACTATTTCTCTGGTCTGTCACTAGTGTCCTACCTGGAGTGAACAGACACTTGTCCACATCGCCCCAGGAAAAGTCATACAACAGAGCTGTGGGGAAAGGCTGAGGAAGACCGGATGGAGTCACAGGTTTGAAAGGCCAGGACAGAGGAGCACAGGCCCCAGGGAAGGCCTGGAGCTAGGGAGGAGTGAGCACAGGAGGGGCCCGGGACATGATAAGAGTCCTGGTGAAAAGGTGACAATGCCACGCCTCCTGTGACAGTATGAAGGAATCACTGATGGGGAAAGGGGCCAGACAGAGGGAAGGGTGCCTG